GGGGGGGGGGGGGGGTCGGGATAAGCAACACAAGAGACAGCGCTCCCTTAACGAGACGAGACTAAAGGCTTGATATGCACACAGCAAATCTTCGTAAAGTTCAATCTGAAACAACAAACATGAGTGTAACAATGGAACGGACTTCCAGCATAGGAACGTTTTTCCCTCGACTCACTGCAAAGACTCCAACACATCCCGTTTGACTGTGGTTATATCTCGAACGGGTAGTTTTTCTGTGATTGTATTTGTTTTTCCCACCAGGAACAGACATTAGTCGCTCCATAACCCACATGCGTCACAACACCTCAACCACTAAGACAAACAGAGCGAAAAAAACAAAAAAACACAGCACACGAGAGAAACAACATCGACATGGGCGGGAACCCCTTGTGTTTTGCTTAACTCAAACATGACAGTGCGTTCAACCTACGGCAACGAGGCTTTTGCATTCCCGCGGGGGGGAACTTTTGTGTGCAGTGGGAGGGAGCTCAAAAACGCCGGTACGTGCCTCGCGCGCCGACCGGCGCATTTCAGTCAAAGTACAGAATGGCTTTGGTGGTAGCCCACCAATTTTCACCCGCGCTACCGCGCCACCGACGCCAATCAACCGGTTCACGCCCCGCCACTGACTGCAGACTCAATCCTCTGAAATTATTTGGCTCTTCGACAAGACTCACGAGGAACGAGCTGGATCCGTCCAAAGACGAAAGTGGCGTCAGGCAGTTCGTGTTGGTCTTGGCCACGAGGTGCTTCAGGAAGGCGTTCAAGTCCGTGAACGACGTGTTGACAGCCACCTGACGGCGGGAATTGTTCCGAGAAAAAAGAAAGAAGATGGCACGACGGGAAAAATCCGTGTGAACAATGTGGTTCATAGTAGCCAGGCAACAGCGGGAGGTGTAGGCCGTTCGTTCCAAGGAGTCACGGGCGCTTGATACTCTCATGGTGTTGTTTCCCGGGGGGTCAACGGCGAGAATACAAAGGCTTCTGGGGAATGACAACGGGCGTGAGCGGGGATTTGTTGCGAGCTCTCGGGTACAATATCGGGGTAAGCAGATTGTGCTCCGAGGCCTCTGGCGCGGTGTGGCGTCCAGGGTAAAATCGTGGCAAATGCAAGAACAACGCTGCAAACAACGGCGCGGGGTTCCTTTGTTTTTTGGGGGTGACATTGTGTTGTTGACATAGAGACCAAAGCATGCTGTCTTGGTGTCGCAAGTACACGCCCCCTCCCCTTGCTTTCGCGCGAGGAAAACAAACAACTCCTCAGGCATGCGCCAACATTCGAACACAAACACAATGGAAACGAAACGACTCGTGTGATTTGCGAATCCATCGACGCCAGACGAGACGGTGGAAACGTCCCCCGCATCACATACATAACTTCACGGGACGACAACGCGTCCCCACTGCTCTCGCACAACCTCTCCGTACCCATCAATGCCAAACGAGATCGTCGCAACGTCCAAGCATCAACCAAAACAGACTTCAAGGAGAGTCGAAAGCAACCTCAGTGTTCCCCAACAAAATCTCTCACCTTGTTCTCCCACTCGAACTCGGCCCACATGGAGCGGAAAGCCTCCTCGCTGCACGAGGCGGGCTTGATGTAGTCCATGATGTCCATGTGGATGTCGTTGAGGTTGATGTACGTCTTCTCCGCGGTAGAGCTGTTCTCGTAAACGATAGTCCCGAAGATGTGGCCGGTCTCGGTGCTGCTCACCTGAACGACAAAAAAAAAAAAGGAAAAAAGTAGAGAAAAAAAACACAGTTTAGACCCAAAGGATAGCGAACAGTTGCTGCGCGAACGACATCGAAAATAAAATTAAGCTGTAAAAAAAAGAAACAACCACGTCAGATCGAGGGAGCGAACAGATGTACGGCAAGATATACTAAAATAAAAACGAAAACAAGACCAACGAGGTGACATCCAAGGGAAGCCAACCGTTGCTGCACGAAGGACATGTAGTACATAAAAAAATCCTAAACTAAACGCGGACAAAAAGGCAACATGATTAGAATGAGAGAGCGAACAGCTGCAGCACGAAGGCTGGGGGCAAAAATAGTGTATTCAAAATACGCATTCTTGTAAGACGGACCAGTTTCCTTGAGGAAACACGAGCCACGACGACCTCTCGCGAATCTCAAAACATGGGGGGCGGGCCGGGGTTACGCTGATTATTATCGCAGACATTGAAAAAAAAAAAAATCCTTATCGAAGAGACGTGAACAATCAAAAAGGAAAAATAACAACACACAGAAAGACAACCCATTCTACCGAGCGCGGTCGTTGAAATGGCCCAAGGGCCAACGGCACAGGGAGACGCACAGTTGCAGCACACCCGCGCCAACACCTGTTAACCCATGTCACGAATGCCCCCGACCAAAAAAACAAAAAATGAGTGCCTTCCTTAGCCTCCAGGTCTCCCAGAACGAAACCGACATCATGCAATATCGGGCGGCTGATTCGTCGCGACAAGAACGTACGTCACGTCACTTCGGTTCACCTTAATGTTGGCGCGGATATTGCGCGAGTCAAGCGGGCCAATGGTGTGCGACTGTGGCCGTTCCACCAGGCGGAGATCTCCCATGGTCGACAGCTCGACCGTAAGATTGGTGAGGGTGTTGGGGGTGTGGTTGATCACCAGCATCTTCCACAAGTGAGAGGAACCAAGTTGCGGGATGATCCCAAAGAATCGGAGGAAGGGTT